TTTTTTTTTTTTTTTTCAGTAAAACGTCAATCTTCTGGAGAAGGGGGAATGACTGGCTGGGTAGATAATTCTGTAAAACTGTTGAGAAAGCAAGATTTTATTACAATCAAATTTAAATGTCTGATATTGGAAATAATATGTATACAGTATTATTTGATATATTTACCTATTCAGAATACAGTCCAAGGTCCCAACAATAATTTATTTAAAGACTTGCATCTTTTGTTATTACATAATCACTATGAGACTCTGCTCTGCAGGCAAAAAATCTTTTTGACCTGGATTACCCTTTGACTTATTAATATTAATAAACCTGAACACTCTTGAAATCCTAGAATTTCCAGTTTTTGACTTCCTGACCCCTGCAGATTTTTGTAAAGTTCGGTAAAGATCTGATTCAACCTGATTGAATTGCCATATATTCTTCCCATTAAGAGGCTACCGGCATATACATCCCCATCCTTCTGTTTTTTTCCTTTAACATCTTACTACATTTTAAAAACAAAATTCTTTTTAAAAGGTAGCTGTAAGGTTTGTTGACATTCACAGGCTCTCTGTTATTTATTTTTATCTGTAGTTAATAATTTTATTCAGAGAAAACATAATAGATACTGACTTTTCTACTGAACAAGCTATCGGAGCAGTTGGATGATAAAATGTATTTGTTTTTTAAAATTGGAACTTTCAGTGTGGTTTTAAACAATGAATTCACTGATGTTCCTGCTAAAAATCTCAGCCTAAGTTTTCATCCACTTATACCTGCACAATGTTGGTTTTTTGTATTTTCTTAGTCTTTGTCTCTATGGAAATGTTGTCACCTCAAAACACCTTTGTGAATTAGATCAGCCTGAAGGAAGGGCATGGTTTGAAGTTCGTGGGTGCTCACTGGTAGAAAATTCAAGTATATTTGTACCTTTTTGACTTTGAAATTAATCTGAGCTAGGGAAAAAAAAAAATCTCCCTTTGAGAGATCATGGAATTGTTTATTCCACTCAGGTCAAAGACAATGAAGGAGTACAGAGAAGTGTCCAAACCTCCATGGCCAAAGCAATGAATGATTATGATTTTTGAAAACAGAAAATTAGATTAATAGCTCAAGTGCTGTCTGAGTATTTGGATCCTGTTGTACTTCAGCCCATTGCTCACCTTTGTACGCATTACACCTTTCCTACTACAAATCTCAAAACACTTCATGTAGGTCTCTGAACTCACTTCTTATACTAAGCCCTGACATGTTTGACTCACAAAACCCAGATGTTGATACTTGGATTTATGAGCAAATTACTCATGAAGTAAACACACTGACTAACCACATGCCTTTCTTTCTAGAGCAAGGTGTTACTGTGAGTACAAAGAGCTCATGTGTTGACTAAGCTTAGAAGGTAAGTTTCTGGCAGAGCCAGGACTGACATTCTCACCTCCAACCTCTGCCCTGAGATTTGGATCTCTGTTCACACACTGCTCCGTTAGCATCATTACACGGCAGAGATGTGTAGTAAAGGGAGAATTTTATGCAGATGGTAAGAACTGGAACGGCACTTGTATGGCCTGTAAAAGGGAGTGAACCACAGACAGACAGTGATGACTCTGCCACCTACAACTGAAGACTGCAAGAATTTTGTCCTTCGTGCTGGCATCTTAAACCCTAACTCCTTCTAGGTGTCATTCTGTTGCCTTGGAGAACTGGCACAAGGGGTGAATTTGGACCTTTAATTTACTTCTTTTTTAAAGATAAACTCCAACATTCATTGGGAAAAGACTTCAGCTCTCCAAATCAACAAGGAATCTGCTCTTTGAAGCTTCTCTTTAACTTTTCCTAAAAACAAAAAAAAAAATCTGCTACAAAGCAGGCACAATGTATAGTCCTTCCAAATCCTGGACCTCTGTGTAAATACTTCCCCAGCTCATCTATTCCTTTGAACGTGACTCAGTGGCACAGCTGCGGCTCACAATTTTACAGCAAGGCTCGAGAAGGACTTCTTTATTGTCCTAAGAGCCAATCTCTCTTTTTTTTTTTTTTTTTTGGCTTGTTTGTTTCCTAGTACCGACAAGCAACTTTGATCTTAGATGTCTTAGGTATCCAAAAGGGCTGCTGATGAATTCCGAGGTCATTTGACTTTAATTTATCCTTTGGAGAGATAGTTCTGCTGCTCTAATTTTTTATTTTTAAGGAAAGAAAACCCAGCATTAATAGAAGACACAAGCCTGCAACACAAGGAAGAATCAATAAACATAATTATACAGGAATTGTATTTATAAAAATATCCTCTGCCTCTGCCCTCATTGCAGGTTCAACAAGACTTCAAGTACAGCTGTGTGGGGAATGGGGGAGGAAGATAAAGTCGTTTTCCTTTGCCAGGTGAAGGTCATTTGGAGAGGTCTGATCTTTTTTTTAATTGCTATTCTTTACTTTTCTTTATTTTGTACAATTAATTCTGTTCTGTACAGCAGCTGTTGTGATTGTATTTAAATGTGAGTGCGCACTTGGTCACCAACAAACAATGTCCTATTTATTGGTTTGGGGTTTTGGTTTGGTTTGTTTTTTTTCCTTCCACTTAATTTATCTTAATTTATAATTCAGTGGTGAAAAACATAATCTTTTATATTTCTATTTCCTATACAAGCTACCTGTTTTACATGAGTCTATGAAGATAATGACCACATTTGATCAAACATTTCACGGCAATAAAATCTATGTTGATTTAACCCTGATTTGTCTGGTGCTTGAAAATAATTTCCATCTCTGGACAAAAAAAAAGGACATTGAAACCTGGCTAGGAACCAGATCTATGGCCTTACAGGACCTAAAACTTCTATTCAATAGATAAGACTACAAAGCAGAGGAACAACAATAATACTATTCCCATATTACTCGGAGGAAATCAGTTTATACAAACATTAAAGGTGGGATTTATCCCAACTAATTGTAGCTATATTAGATAGTTATCTCATCTACAATCTGTTAACTAGATTTAATGCTTGTTGTGTCAAGAGAAAGATATAAAGCAAGGCAATTTGTACTGTCCTAAAGCAGGAATCCAAGCTAATTGGGATAATTTACATTAGATCAGTCTCTCTCAAATGACCACAGGACAAAAGTGGTAGGAATCCTAGTCTCTATCCATTGACAATGGACACAACCTAGAAAACTTGCTAACCCTGAATACTTAACATTTAGATGACCAGACTAAATCGAGATGTATGCCCTCAGAAGTGCTTTGCCCATGATTGCATAGAAAGGCTGTGACAATGCTGGCTAACAAATCCATATCTCCATAGTCTGAAACAAATTCATATTCATGTCTAAGCCCTACTTCAGCCAACGGTCTGGGTTAATTGCTGATGTTCCCGCTCTGGATTTTGATCCCAGTGTTGTGGCACAAGTTTGGACTCTTTCCAGTCAGAAACAATGAGAGTCAAAAAAATAAGTCTTTCAGGTATGACTTGAAGCAACTCTAGATTAGATCACAGAAGGCAAAGGCAGGGACTGGGAGAATTAAGAACTGCCCACTGTAGGAGAAGATCAGGTTTGAGACCATTTAAGGAACCTGAAGGTGCACAAGGCTGTGAGACCTGATGAGATGCATTTGTGGGTCCCGAGGGAACTGGCAGATGAAGTTGCTAAGCCACTGTCCATCATATTTGAGAAGCTGTGGCAGTTTAGTGAAGTTCCCATGGTCTGGAAAAGGGGAAACATAATACCCATTTTCAAAAAGGGAGAAAAAGAAGAACTACAGGCCAGTCAGTATCACCTCTATGCCTGGCAAGATCATGAGAAGATCCTCCTGGAAAATATGCTAGAGAACATGGAAAACAAGGAGGTGATTGGTGCGGATGATGAAGGAAGCAAGCAGTCGATTCAATATGAATGATAGAACAAGCTTCAACTTTATTGAAAGAAATCACACCTTATATAAGCACTCTACAGTAATCATGCATACTACTCACAAATCTATTGGATACATGTAAAAGGCTACATTATAATATCCCAGCCCCTTGTGGCATTTCAGGTATGTCACAACATCTTCCCTCTTCTGGCTTGCCTTCTTTCCCAAGGTTGTTTACCATCATACTCAAGGCCGTTGTGTACCTCAGTTTCTCTCTTTGTAACATAACAGTCCTTTGTTAGCGTAACTGTACCCTGGGTTTTTTCCTTTGTTTACCTCCGATGGCTGCAATCAGCTCCTGCAGAGACCCATGGCCTTGCTCTCTGCAAGCCGTTCTCCAACAGATTGGTAACAGCCAACATGACTTCACTAAGGGCAAATCATGCCTGACATATTTGGTGGCCTCCTACAACAGGGTTGCAGCGTTGGTGCATAAGGGAAGAGCAACTGACATCATCTACCTGGACTTGTGCAAACATTTGACACTGTCCTGCATGATATCCTTGTCTCTAAATTGGAGAGAGACGGATTTGATGGATGGACCACTCGGTGGATAAGGAATTGGCTGGATGGTCACACTCAAAGAGTTGCAATCAACAGCTCAATATGCCAGTGGAGAGCGGTGATGAGTGGCATTCTTCAGGGGTGGGTATTGGGACCAACACTGTTTAACATCTTTGCTGGCAGCATGAACCATGGGATTGAATGCACCCTCAGCAAGTTTGCCAGTGACACCAAGATGTGGGGTGCCTTGATAGGCTGGGCCTGTGTGAATGTCATGAAGTTCAACAAGGTCAAGTACAAGGTCCTGCACACAGGTCGAGGTAATCCCAAACACAAACACATGCTGGGAGGTGAGTAGATTAAGAGCATCTGTGAAGAGAAGGACTTAGGGGTGTTGGTTGACAAGAAGCTCAGCATGACCCAGCAACACCCACTCACAGCCCAGAAAGTCACCCGTGTCCTGGGCTGCATCAGGAGAAGTGTGGCCAGCAGGACGAGGGAGGGGATTCTCCACCTCTACTGTGC